CGTCCGTCTGTGTGGTTCCGTGTGTGTCCGCGGGTGTCCGTGTGTGTCCGTGTGTGTCCGTGTGGTCCGTGTGTGTCCGCGTGTGTCCGGTGTGTCTGCGGTGTGTGAGATTATTAGAGTAAAGTTCTTCAAGCGAAGCAGCTGTCCGTAATAATTAATCTGGAAAGAGGGGGGGGGGGGCGGGTGGTTTTCCTCTCGAAACGGCGTCACAGAGAGTCATAATCATAATCAACGTTTTTGGGTTTGGATTATGAATGATATTGGTCGCGGCGAAAGCCTACGCGTTAAACGAGTTGTATGATCCCTTCCCTCGCTCTGGGCGTTGTTATCTTTGTCTCGCACGGCTTTAAGTTGTTCGTTTTCTGTTTGGAAGTTAGAATGAGATTCACTTTACTGCTCATAGTATTATTGTGATTTGATTTGTAAGCGATTCAAGGTATGTTGTAGCCGTGGTTCACGGTATTCCATCGTAGGGTTTGATTTCTTATGGGGAGATGTTATTGGCTCGTGTGTGCGCGAGTCTTGCTGTCCGTGCTGCGGGAAGACAAAGGCGGTCTGGGCTCCCTTTCCACAGAGCACGCTGTGTTCTTGCAGCCCGGCTTGTGCGCGGTGTCTTTCATACAGGTAGCACAATGTTCCACACTGCCCACCAGGGATTGTCTGTCTGTCTGTCTGATTGTCTGTCTGTCGTCATGCATAAAACACGTTCCTTCGGGTGGGCAGCTAGAGGGACTTGGTTGGACGCGCGTTCGTGCACGACAGACAGACACATAATCCCTGGTGGGCAGCAGTGTGGAACCTGTTGTTCTCTAGCTGTGTACAAGATCACGTGACTTGAGGTTGCAGGCAGACAGCCCCCTTCACTATCGGCCCCCTCCTTGCTTAGGCCCCTCCCATTACCCCCCTCCCTTAGGCCCCTCCCCCCTTAGGCCCCTCCCATTACCCCCCCTTAGGCCCCTCCCTGACCAACCCCCATATCATTAGGCCCTCCCCTGACCCTCTCCCTTAGGCCCCTCCCCTCTCTGTACCCGGCAGTAGGTCTCCACCAATCAAAGAGCTGTGCGCATTATATATTTATACAGGTAGGAACAATGTTCCACACTGCCCACCAGGGATTATTTAGCTGTCTGTCTGTCTGACTGTCTGTCTGTCTGTCGCGCATAAATAAATATATAATGCACACAGCTCTTTGATTGGTGGAGACTTACTGCGGCTACGGAGAGGGGAAGGGGCCTAAGGGAGGAGGGTCAGAGGAGGGGCCTGAGGATATCGGGGGGGTCAGGGGAGGGCCTAAGGGGGGAGGGGCTAAGGGAGGGGGGAAATGGAGGGGCCTAAGGGGGGAGGGGCCTAATGGAGGGGGGTAATGGGAGGGGCCTAAGTAAGGGGAGGGGCCTAATGGAGGGGGGAAATGGGAGGGGCCTAAGGGGGGAGGGGCCTAATGGAGGGGGGAAATGGGAGGGGCCTAAGGGGGAGGGGCCTAATGGAGGGGGGTAATGGGAGGGGCCTAAGGGGGGAGGGGCCTAAGGGAGGGGGGAAATGGGAGGGGCCTAAGGGGGGAGGGGCCTAATGGAGGGGGGTGGTAATGGAGGGGCCTAAGTAAGGGGAGGGGCCTAAGGGAGGGGGGAAATGGGAGGGGCCTAAGGGGGGAGGGGCCTAATGGAGGGGGGTAATGGGAGGGGCCTAAGTAAGGGGGAGGGGCCTAATGGAGGGGGGAAATGGGAGGGGCCTAAGGGGGGAGGGGCCTAATGGAGGGGGGTAATGGGAGGGGCCTAAGTAAGGGGGAGGGGCCTAATGGAGGGGGGTAATGGGAGGGGCCTAAGTAAGGGGGAGGGGCCTAATGGAGGGGGGTAATGGGAGGGGCCTAAGTAAGGGGGAGGGGCCTAATGGAGGGGGGAAATGGGAGGGGCCTAAGGGGGGAGGGGCCTAATGGAGGGGGGTAATGGGAGGGGCCTAAGTAAGGGGGAGGGGCCTAATGGAGGGGGGTAATGGGAGGGGCCTAAGTAAGGGGGAGGGGCCTAATGGAGGGGGGAAATGGGAGGGGCCTAAGGGGGGAGGGGCCTAATGGAGGGGGGTAATGGGAGGGGCCTAAGTAAGGGGGAGGGGCCTAATGGAGGGGGGAAATGGGAGGGGCCTAAGGGGGGAGGGGCCTAATGGAGGGGGGTAATGGGAGGGGCCTAAGTAAGGGGGGGGGCCTAATGGAGGGGGGAAATGGGAGGGGCCTAAGGGGGGAGGGGCCTAATGGAGGGGGGTAATGGGAGGGGCCTAAGTAAGGGGGAGGGGCCTAATGGAGGGGGGAAATGGGAGGGGCCTAAGTAAGGGGGAGGGGCCGAATGGAGGGGGGTAATGGGAGGGGCCTAAGTAGGGGGGAGGGGCCTAATGGAGGGGGGTAATGGGAGGGGCCTAAGTAAGGGGGAGGGGCCTAATGGAGGGGGGAAATGGGAGGGGCCTAAGGGGGGAGGGGCCTAATGGAGGGGGGTAATGGGAGGGGCCTAAGTAAGGGGGAGGGGCCTAATGGAGGGGGGAAATGGGAGGGGCCTAAGGGGGGAGGGGCCTAATGGAGGGGGGTAATGGGAGGGGCCTAAGTAAGGGGGAGGGGCCTAATGGAGGGGGGTAATGGGAGGGGCCTAAGTAAGGGGGAGGGGCCTAATGGAGGGGGGAAATGGGAGGGGCCTAAGGGGGGAGGGGCCTAATGGAGGGGGGTAATGGGAGGGGCCTAAGTAAGGGGGAGGGGCCTAATGGAGGGGGGAAATGGGAGGGGCCTAAGGGGGGAGGGGCCTAATGGAGGGGGGTAATGGGAGGGGCCTAAGTAAGGGGGAGGGGCCTAATGGAGGGGGGAAATGGGAGGGGCCTAAGTAAGGGGGAGGGGCCGAAGGGGGGGTAATGGGAGGGGCCTAAGTAGGGGGGAGGGGCCTAATGGAGGGGGGTAATGGGAGGGGCCTAAGTAAGGGGGAGGGGCCTAATGGAGGGGGGGAAATGGGAGGGGCCTAAGGGGGGAGGGGCCTAATGGAGGGGGGTAATGGGAGGGGCCTAAGTAAGGGGGAGGGGCCTAATGGAGGGGGGAAATGGGAGGGGCCTAAGGGGGGAGGGGCCTAATGGAGAGGGGTAATGGGAGGGGCTAAGTAAGGGGGAGGGGCCTAATGGAGGGGGGAAATGGGAGGGGCCTAAGTAAGGGGGAGGGGCCTAATGGAGGGGGGTAATGGGAGGGGCCTAAGTAGGGGGGAGGGGCCTAATGGAGGGGGGTAATGGGAGGGGCCTAAGTAAGGGGGAGGGGCCTAATGGAGGGGGGAAATGGGAGGGGCCTAAGGGGGGAGGGGCCTAAGGGAGGGGGGTAATGGGAGGGGCCGATAGTGAAGGGGGCTGTCTGCCTGGCAACCTCAAGTCACGTGATCTTGTACACAGCTAGAGGAACAACAGGTTCCACACTGCTGCCCACCAGGGATTTGTCTGTCTGTCGTGCACGAATGCGCTGTCCAACCAAGTCCCTCTACCTGCCCACTCGGAAGGAACGTGTTTAGAGTGACGATAGATAATGTTTGCTTAATCTTCGCGGCTAAGTTGGTTACTTTGTTTAACTATTATGGCTCAAAAAATCGTCTGTTTGTTTTCCCTGTTGCCAATTTTTGAACTTTGAACCGTTACAAAAATAATAATTATATATATATCTCGTGGCGCCTACTGCTGGTATTGTGTGTGGGCCTTTTGAAGTACTGTATGGGTATTGATTTAACCCATTGGTGATTTCCCCCGCTCTCGCTGTGTGTATAGGGTACGGGTTATGACCATTTATGGTTGCCTCGGTGTCTGTTAAAAAAATATATTATTGGCAGAATTATTCTTAATATTAATTTTGGAAAAAGGGGCATATACACAACAGTGGGTATCTATAAGTGTGGGTCTCTATGAGTGTGGGTCTCTGTGGGTGTGGGTCTCTATGAGTGTGGGTCTCTGTGAGTGTGAGTTTCTATGAGTGTGGGTCTCGTGAGTGTGGGTCTCTGTGAGTGTGGGTCTCTGTGAGTGTGGGTCTCTGTGAGTGTGAGTCTCTGTGAGTGTGGGTCTCTGTGAGTGTGGGTCTCTATGAGTGTGGGTCTCTATGAGTGTGGGTCTCTATGAGTGTGGGTCTCTGTGAGTGTGGGTCTCTATGAGTGTGGGTCTCTGTGAGTGTGGGTCTCTGTGAGTGTGGGTCTCTGTGAGTGTGGGTCTCTATGAGTGTGGGTCTCTGTGAGTGTGGGTCTCTGTGAGTGTGGGTCTCTGTGAGTGTGGGTCTCTATGAGTGTGGGTCTCTGTGAGTGTGGGTCTCTGTGAGTGTGGGTCTCTGTGAGTGTGGGTCTCTGTGAGTGAGGGTCTCTGTGAGTGTGGGTCTCTGTGAGTGTGGGTCTCTGTGAGTGTGGGTCTCTGTGAGTGTGGGTCTCTGTGAGTGTGGGTCTCTATGAGTGTGGGTCTCTGTGAGTGTGGGTCTCTGTGAGTGATGGTCTCTGTGAGTGAGGGTCTCTATGAGTGTGGGTCTCTATGGGTTTGGGTCTCTGTGAGTGTTGGTCTCTATGAGTGTGGGTCTCTGTGAGTGTGGGTCTCTATGAGTGTGGGTCTCTATGAGTGAGGGTCTCTGTGAGTGTGGGTCTCTATGAGTGTGGGTCTCTGTGAGTGTGGGTCTCTGTGAGTGTGGGTCTCTGTGAGTGTGGGTCTCTATGGGTGTGGGTCTCTGTGAGTGTGGGTCTCTATGAGTGTGGGTCTCTATGAGTGTGGGTCTCTGTGAGTGTGGGTCTCTGTGAGTGTGGGTCCTATGGGTGTGGGTCTCTATGAGTGTGGGTCTCTGTGGGTGTGGGTCTCTATGAGTGTGGGTCTCTATGAGTGTGGGTCTCTATGAGTGTGGGTCTCTGTGGGTGTGGGTCTCTGTGAGTGTGGGTCTCTATGAGTGTGGGTCTCTATGAGTGTGGGTCTCTGTGAGTGTGGGTCTCTGTGTGTGTGGGTCTCTGTGAGTGTGGGTCTCTATGAGTGTGGGTCTCTGTGGGTGTGGGTCTCTGTGAGTGTGGGTCTCTGTGAGTGTGGGTCTCTGTGTGTGTGGGTCTCTGTGAGTGAGGGTCTCTGTGAGTGTGGGTCGTTGTGAGTGTGGGTCTCTGTGAGTGTGGGTCTCTGTGAGTGTGGGTCTCTGTGAGTGTGGGTCTCTGTGAGTGTGGGTCTCGTGAGTGAGGGTCTCTGTGAGTGTGGGTCGCTGTGAGTGTGGGTCTCTGTGAGTGTGGGTCTCTATGAGTGTGGGTCTCTGTGAGTGTGGGTCTCTGTGAGTGTGGGTCTCTGTGAGTGTGGGTCTCTATGAGTGTGGGTCTCTATGAGTGTGGGTCTCTGTGAGTGTGGGTCTCTATGAGTGTGGGTCTCTATGAGTGTGGGTCTCTGGGTCTCTGTGAGTGTGGGTCTCTATGAGTATGGGTCTTTATGAGTGAGGGTCTCTGTGAGTGAGGGTCTCTGTGAGTGTGGGTCTCTGTGAGTGTGAGTCTCTATGAGTGTGGGTCTCTATGAGTGTGGGTCTCTATGAGTGTGGGTCTCTGTGAGTGTGGGTCTCTATGAGTGAGGGTCTGTTAGTGTGAGTCTCTATGAGTGTGGGTCTCTATGAGTGTGGGTCTCTATGAGTGTGGGTCTCTATGAGTGTGGGTCTCTGTGAGTAATCCGAGCCCGGTACTGGGCCTCCCCTAGGTCGACTCAGCCTTAAATGAGTGGTTACCTGTTGCAGCGGTGATGAGGGAGACAAAGGCGGCCGGGCGTGGTGCTGGTGGTTGCCACCCACCCTCTGTGTGTGTGACACAGTGGCTGTTAGCCCTTGTGCTACCGCACCCCCTTATGACGGGGAGCGGTGGGTGTAGTGGTTAGCGCTACGCTGCGCTATAAACCTGGCGACCCGGGTTCGATTTCCGCTCACGGCCAACACCAGTGACGATTATTTTGAACCGGTCCTGGGCCTCCCCTAGGTCGACTCAGCCTCAAATGAGTACCTGGTGCGGTGTGTAAACATCGCCAGCACTGGGGAGACAAAGGCGGTCGGGCGTGGTGCTGGCCACCCACCCCCTCGTGTACCATTCCGGCCTTCATAGGTGCTCGCTAACAGCACTTGCCCCTACAGTCTGTTAAGGCTACACGGGGGATCTTTATCTTAGTTAGCCCTTATAGGTAGCTGCAGCTAATCGCAAACAGCACTTGCCCCTACAGCCCTGCTAGATGGCGGTACCTGGTGGGGTCTTTGTCTGTGGTGTGTGTAACAGCACTTGCCCCTACAGCCCTGCTAGCGGCCTACCTGGATGGATCTTTGTCTGTGTGTGTAACAGCACTTGCCCCTACAGCCCTGCTAGAGGCTACCTGGGGGATCTTTGTCTGTGTGTGTAACAGCACTTGCCCCTACAGCCCTGCTGGAGGCTACCTGGGAGACCTTTGCCTGTGTAACAACACTCAGATTGTGATGATGATTAAGATGACGTCACGATCATCGTGATTTAAATCGTTTATTAGTGGGCATATGCTGAACACGGTATACATGATGAGATATATTGAATATATAATGTTGTACTGTATTATGTGGGGTCCCCATTTCCCTCCACTCCCATAACATTTAAGTCTATGGGGAGACTTTAACATTGAAGTCTATGGGTAGAGACTTTAACATTGAGGTCTATGGGGAGACTTTAACATTGAAGTCTATGGGTAGAGACTTTAACATTGAGGTCTATGGGAGACTTTAACATTGAAATCTATGGGTAGAGACTTTAACATTGAGGTCTATGGGAGACTTTAACATTGAAATCTATGGGTAGAGACTTTAACATTGAGGTCTATGGGAGACTTTAACATTGGAGTCTATGGGAGACTTTAACATTGCAGTCTATGGGTAGAGACTTTAACATTGAGGTCTATGGGAGACTTTAACATTGAAATCTATGGGTAGAGACTTTAACATTGAGGTCTATGGGAGACTTTAACATTGAAATCTATGGGTAGAGACTTTAACATTGAGGTCTATGGGAGACTTTAACATTGGAGTCTATGGGAGACTTTAACATTGGAGTCTATGGGGAGACTTTAACATTGGAGTCGATGGGAGACTTTAACATTGAAGTCTATGGGAGACTTTAACATTGAAGTCTATGGGAGACTTTAACATTGGAGTCTATGGGAGACTTTAACATTGGAGTCTATGGGAGACTTTAACATTGGAGTCTATGGGAGACTTTAACATTGGAGTCTATGGGGGACTTTAACATTGGAGTCTATGGGAGACTTTAACATTGGAGTCTATGGGAGACTTTAACATTGAAGTCTATGGGAGACTTTAACATTGAAGTCTATGGGAGACTTTAACATTGGAGTCGATGGGGGCCTTTAACATTGAAGTCTATGGGAGACTTTAACATTGGAGTCTATGGGAGACTTTAACATTGGAGTCTATGGGGAGACTTTAACATTGGAGTCGATGGGAGACTTTAACATTGAAGTCTATGGGAGACTTTAACATTGAAGTCTATGGGGGCCTTTAACATTGAAGTCTATGGGAGACTTTAACATTGGAGTCTATGGGAGACTTTAACATTGAAGTCTATGGGAGACTTTAACATTGGAGTCGATGGGGGCCTTTAACATTGAAGTCTATGGGAGACTTTAACATTGGAGTCTATGGGAGACTTTAACATTGGAGTCTATGGGGAGACTTTAACATTGGAGTCGATGGGAGACTTTAACATTGAAGTCTATGGGAGACTTTAACATTGAAGTATATGGGGGCCTTTAACATTGAAGTCTATGGGAGACTTTAACATTGGAGTCTATGGGAGACTTTAACATTGAAGTCTATGGGCGACCTTTAACATTGAAAGTCTAAGTCCATTATATAAGGCAGCGTGTGTGTGTCTGTGTGTACGTGTGTTGAACTTCCTTCGCACCGTACGTAGTCCGATCCTGCAGATGCCATGGGTTGTCCTGCTGCTGTGCCAGGCTAGGTGCATGAGGAGGAGGTCACGGGACAGACCCAGCAGGTGCCATGGGTTGTACTGCTGTGCCAGGCTAGGTGCATGAGGTGGTCACGGGACAGACCCTGCAGGTGCCATGGGTTGTACTGCTGTGCCAGGCTAGGTGCAGGAGGAGGAGGTCACGGGTCAGACCCAGGTGCCATGGGCATTGACTGCTGTTGCAGGTAGGTGCACTGAGTAGGAGGTCAAGGGACAGACCCAGCAGGTGCCATGGGTTGTACTGCTGTGCCAGGCTAGGGCATGAGGCCAAGGAGGTCCACGGGTACAGACCCATGCAGGTTGCCATGGTTGTACTAGCTGTGCCAGGCTAGGTGCCCATGCGGAGTGAGGTCACGGGACACGACCAGCAGGTGCCATGGCGTTGTATGCTGGGCCCAGGCAGGGGCCATTGAGGAGGAGGGTCACGGGTCAGGACCCCAGCAGGTGCCATGGGTTGTTACGCTGTGCCAGGCCTAGGTTGCATGAGGAGGAGGTCACGCGTACAGACCACCCAGCACGGTGCCATGGGTCTGTACTGCTGTGACCAGCGCTAGGTTCATGAGAAGAGGACGGTCACGGGCCAGACCCTGCACCGGTGCCATGCGGTCTGTACTGCTGTGCCAGGCTAGGTGCATGAGGAGGAGGTCACGGGTCAGACCCAGCAGGTGCCATGGGTTGTACTGCTGTGCCAGGCTAGGTGCATGAGGAGGAGGTCACGTGACAGACCCAGCAGGTGCCATGGGTTGTGCTGCTGTGCCAGGCTAGGTGCACCAGGAGGAGGTCACGTGACAGACCCAGCAGGTGCCATGGATTGTACTGCTGTGCCAGGCTAGGTGCACCAGGAGGAGGTGACCCATCCAGCTCAGCCTGGCCATCACCACCATCACCACCACCACCATCACCACCACCATCATCACCATCACCACCGGCACCACCACCATCATCACCACCACCATCACCACCACCATCACCACCACCACCATCACCACCATCACCATCATCACCATCATCACCATCAACAACACACCATCACCACCACCATCATCAACCACCACCATCACCACCACCATCACCACCATCACCATCATCACCATCACCACCGGCACCACCACCATCACACCACCACCACCATCACCACCACCACCATCACCACCACCATCATCACTATCACCACCATCACCACCACCACCATCATCACCACCACCACCATCACCACCACCATCACCACCACCATCACCACCATCACCATCATCACCATCATCACCATCAACAACAACCGCCACCATCATTACCGTCACGTGGCCACGTGGCACATCGTGACGTCACAATGCCTGGTTCCCGCCCTTCCCAATGACGTCACGTCCACGTACAGTGACGCAGCCCAGCGATGACGTCACCACCTCCCCCCTCTGAACACTGATGACGTCGCTCTGTCTTGATTACTGCCGACGTCATTGTACGAAGAAGGGGCAAACCTGTGGTGACGTCATCGCTCAGGTAAACACCGGTGACGTCACGACCCCCTTGACTATCGGTGACGTCACTGCGGCGGCGTCACTCAGGTGGTGACGTCATCTCTTAACTCGATTACACGCCGACGTCATTGCGTGGTGACGTCATCGCTTACGTTGATGCGGTGACGTCATTGGGGAGGGAGGGAGGTGGGGGCTACTTCCGCTCGCGATGACGTCACGCGTTGATGGGGAGGGGGTGGGGGGGGTTGAGGGTGACGTCACCCCACTGAGGCTCAGCGGTGACGTCAGCTTCCGGTGTGGGCGGAGTTTGTGTGTGGCGGTTGAGGGTGACGTCACTCCGCTGAGGCTCAGCGCTGACGTCACTCCGCTGAGGCTCAGCGGTGACGTCACTCATCCAACGGCCGCTCTGGGGGCGTGGCCTCCGCGCCGTCGTTGCTCGTAGCTCCGCCCCTACACCACGTGACCCACACAGACACCCGGTACAAGCCCAAGTGGAGGACACTGATTGGTTCTTTTTAAGCTCCGCCCACCACCCAATACGTCCCATTCATTGGCTACCACATTCGGATAAGCCCCTCCCCCTTTAACTTGTATTTAAGAGTCTTCTTGGTTCATCTTGGTTCTTTCGGTAAAGTCATCGCGTGGTAGG